AGAGAAAGGACACGAGGGACCACAGAGAAAGGACACGAGGGACCACAAGGGATTTGGACGGTCAAGGGATCGTCCCAAAGAGTCATTGTTCTGGCGGGCGGCCGGGAGGCTGTCCATCAAACCGGGCCAGGTCAGGGGGTCGGTCGGGAGGCCGTCCAAAACACAGAACCAAAGGGAACACGGCTTGCGTTAAGGAGACCTGGGGAGCTGCAGCATGCGACGGAGAGACCTGGGGGGCTGCAGCATGCGACGGAGAGACCTGGGGAGCTGCAGCGTGTGACGGAGAGTCCTGGAGAGCTGCAGCGTGCGACGGAGAGTCCTGGACAGTTGCAGCGTGCGACGAGGAGACCTGGGGAGCTGCAGCGTGCAACAAGGAGACCTGGGGAGCTGCAGCATGCGACGGAGAGACCTGGGGGCTGCAGCATGCGACAGAGAGACCTGGGGAGCTGCAGCGTGCGACGGAGAGTCCTGGGGAGCTGCAGCGTGCGACGGAGAGTCCTAGAGAGCTGCAGCGTGCGACGGAGAGTCCTGGAGAGCTGCAGCGTGCGACGGAGAGTCCTGGAGAGCTGCAGCGTGCGACGAGGAGACCTGGGGAGCTGCAGCGTGCGACGAGGAGACCTGGGGAGCTGCAGCGGGCAGCATGGAAGCCTGGAGAGCTGCAGCGGGCGGCGTGGGAGCCTGGAGGGCTGCAGCGGGCGACGTGGGAGCCTGGAGGGCTGCAGCAGACGGCGTGGGAGCCTGGAGGGCTGCAGCAGACGGCGTGGGAGCCTGGAGGGCTGCAGCAGACGACGAGGGAACCTTGGAGGATGCAGCAGACGACGAGGGAACCTTGGAGGATGCAGCAGGAGACGAGGGAACCTTGGAGGATGCAGCAGGAGACGAGGGAACCTTGGAGGATGCAGCAGGAGACGAGGGAACCTTGGAGGATGCAACAGGAGACGAGGGAACCTTGAAGGCTGCAGCAGGAGACGAGAGAACCTTGAAGGCTGCAGCAGGAGACGAGGGAACCTTGGAGGCTGCAGCAGGAGACGAGGGAACCTTGAAGGCTGCAGCAGGAGACGAGGGAAACTTGGAGGATGCAACAGGAGACGAGGGAAACTTGAAGGCTGCAGCAGGAGACGAGGGAAACTTGGAGGATGCAGCTGCTGTCGGAGAGGCCTGGGGAGATGCTGCTGCTGACGGAGAGGCCTGGGGAGATGCTGCTGCTGTCGGAGAGGCCTGGGGAGATGCTGCTGCTGACGGAGAGGCCTGGGGAGTTGCTGCTGCTGTCGGAGAGGCCTGGGGAGTTGCTGCTGCTGTCGGACAGGCCAGGGGAGTTGCTGCTGCTGACGACGGAGAGGCCAGGGGAGTTGCTGCTGCTGACGACGGAGAGGCCTGTGGCTCTGCAGCAGACGACGGAGAGGCCTGTGGCTCTGCAGCAGACGACGGAGAGGCCTGTGGCTCTGCAGCAGACAACGGAGAGGCCTGTGGCTCTGCAGCAGACGACGGAGAGGCCTGTGGCTCTGTAGCAGACGACGGAGAGGACCGTGGAGGTGAATCCTCAGTGGTAGTGGAGTGCGCCGACCCCTCTGGAGACTTGGAGAGCGCCGACCCCTCTGGAGACTTGGAGAGCGCCGACCCCTCTGGAGATTTGGAGAGCGCCGACCCCTCTGGAGATTTGGAGAGCTGAGGAGCGTCTGCCGGGACCCCCTTGGAATAGGAGAGATGAGGAGCGTCTGCCGGGACCCCCTCGGAATAGGAGAGCTGAGGACCCACCACAGGGGCTGCGTGCAGCGTGGAGTCCACCTCAGGGATGGCTGAAACAGGAGTCTTTAGAGTCTGTAACTCAGTTAATAAAAAATCATATTCGGGGAGCAAAGAAAGACCAGGGATAGAAAGTAAAAAATCCTCCATCTGGGACAAAACGAAATCAAAGGAGGACGGGTTTCTTTTAGCTGAATTAAATAGTTCAAGAATGGTTTGATTAATCTGAAAAATATTTTCAGGTGAAAATGAATGAAAAAAGGGAATGTCTGTATGAGTGGGTGTGGTGGCGGGTGCCGCCCCCACCGGAAACCTGGAAGGTGAGGCGGCGGAACACGCCCCCACGGAGTCACAATGTATACGCTCCGAAGGTACGGCCAGGCTTGGTCGAACAGCCGCGGCGCGGAGTGGCGGTGAGAGGCCGGATTCCGCCCCCACCAGGAACCTGGAAGGTGAGGCGACGGAACCCGCCCCTGTAACGTCAACCGGACCGGACTCACCGAACCGAATAGGAGTGGACCGGAGCTCCCGCGGGACGCTGGATCTCGCCCCCACCGGAAACCTGGCAGGTGAGGCGGCGGACCCCGCTCCCACAAAAA